ATGGATTGTGAAGAAAGAGATTATAATGACAATTATGAAGTAAACCAGATCACGCGACGAAAAACTAGATTAAATTTGTAAAAAAGGAACAAAGAAAATTAACGCAAAAGAAACAATGTTTTTATTGAACAATATGGTTAATATAAACCAATTTAGCTAACTGTTACAATTAAAACTGAAAAGAGGTGCCTCTAATTTATAGGCCACGACCAAAAACCTAAAAGAGTCCTAAAAGGTAAGGAAATATGTTATAATTAGGAGAAAACGTGGACGGGATTCTAGTTTCCTATTTTATCTTGGATACAATTTGATTTCCTTTTCAAACTTGGATTCTAATTATTTCATTTCTAAGCCAAGTCAAACACGTAATCCCAAGACTCCTATTTCATATTAGAGTTACAAACCTAACAATCTCCACCTTAACTCTAATTCTAGTGCTACGAATGAAACTCCTAGATTCCAAATTCATCTGCATCGAAATTAACCGGCCGAATCTCCTCAACACAGTAACCACTCTATATAAACCAAAACTCGTCCTCTGCCCGGCGTCCACAACCGACACCCGAACTCAATCCCCAGGGTTCCCAAATCCACCAAGAAATTAATGTTGATCACACAGGATTGAAGCACACCCTGTAGCAAGAACCAAACCAGATGCTTGATCAGAAGGCCCCTTACTGGAACTATCGCCTTCAACATCCCCAGAAGCATCCCAAACATTGCTGATACTATAGTACCTATGCTCGATGAGTCCTACCCCAGCAACTGAACATAGTATACTCACTGAAATTGGTGGCGAAGCGAAATCGCCTACGCTCTCCCTAGCAGTGTTTTGAATTGACCCAGAGCCCAACACAAGAGGTACTGTATCAAACTGAACTTTCATCATGGTACTAAACTTTTCCAAATGTCTCCTCTTAACTTGGTCTGCACTCCCCTACAAAATGTACAACTGTGATATTTTCCGTCCCTCCAGTACAACTAGGACTTCCTTTCGGACCTTCAAGGCTCCGCATCCTTTGGAGAATTTATACTCTTTTGCATCCAAGGTACTAAGCGAAATGAGATTCTTTTTCAGGTCAGGAATATGTCGAACTTGATCAATTGTTCTAAATGTTCCATCCCTCAGCCTCAATCTGACTCGACCAATCCCGACAATACAGCAAGATTGGTTGTTTCCCATTACAACTGCACATTTCTGAATAGCCTCATATGTCTAAACTAAATTCCTATTGGAACACATATGGTACGAACATGCTGAATCAAGAATCCACTCCTCGTCAGGCCTAGACTCCACATCAGATACCACGGTTAACATCACCTCTTCGCTATCTGAACAATTCTCAAGTACATAGGTTTCGTCTGAATTCAAAGGTTGCACCCTATGATTTGCAGCTAAATCACCTTTAGCCTGCAACGTATCACAATCCTTCCGAATATGTCCCTTCCTTTTGCAGTAGTAACAGGTCACATTGCTAACTCTGACTCTCAATCTACCTCTTTGTCGACCACCTTGAGTTACAAGAGCTTTCCCATCCCTTGATGTAGCTCCAACAAAATGCTTCATTTTCTCCTTTGAGTGCAAAGCATTATAGACATCTTCTATAGTCAAAGTATCTCGACTATACAATATAGTATCCCGAAACGACACATAAGATCTAGGCAGCGAACACAATAGGATCAAGGCAAGATCCTCTTCATCATACTTAACCTCCAACGTCTCCAGATCTGCAACTATTTTCTTGAACACGACAACATGGTCTTCCAACAACTCTCCTTCCGCCATGCGATGTGAATACAGCTTCTGTTTGAAAGCTAGTTTACTTGTAAGACTCTTAGTCATACACAACAGCGACAACTTCAACCACAAAGCAGCCGTCATTGTCTCCTTCAAGACATCCTGTAGAATATTGTTGGACAGATGAAGATGAATTAATGAAACAACCTTCCGATCCTTCCGTTGTTTCTCTTCCATTGTCTAATTAGCTGGCACCTTCTCAATACCCAGCAACACATCGTCTAAATCCAACTGCGCCAAAATAGCCCTCATCTTTACTTGCCACAATGAGAACCTTATATTGCGATCTAGTTGCGAAATATCATACTTCAACCCAGCCATCCCGAAAGAATCTCAACCAACCTATGAAAGGAACCAAGCTCTGATACTACTTGTTGGGCGCGAAAGCTCCAAAAAACACAAGTTGGCTCCAATGGATTTTGAAGAATGAGATTATAATGACAATTATGAAGTAAACCAGATCACGCGATGAAAAACAAGATTAAATTTGTAAAAGAGGAAATTAACGCATAAGAAACGATGTTTTTATTGAACAATATGAAAAATACAAACCAATTTAGCTAACTGTTACAATTAAAACTGATGAGAGGTGCCTCTAATTTATAGGCCACGACCAAAAACCTAAAAGAGTCCTAAAAGGTAAGGAAATATATTATAATTAGGACAAAAAGTGGATGGGATTCTAGTTTCCTAATTTATCTTGGATATAATTTGATTTCCTTTCAAACTTGGATTCTAATAATTCCTTTCTAAGCCAAGTCAAACACATAATCCCAAGACTCCTATTCCATATCAGAGTCACAAACCTAACAAGTATATTCTTTTCATCAACATAGAGACCACAAAAGCGGGCATAAATCACCTATCCGATGAACCCAGTGAAGATTTGATGTTGTTGTTTGTTGATGTATAACAAATGATCCATGTCTATCCAAAATAAATTTATAATTTGACAATAAAACGTATGGCCTACTGCTAAGTACCCCATAATCTATACTTCTTAGCAGCTAGTGAAGTACTATAATAAGTAATTAATAAATCTTTGTTTGGTGTCGTAGTAAACCATATTCATTACCAAAAATGAGAAATGAGGAAAAAAATGACAAACGATCTTTGGATGAGGATTGAACCTCGGATCTTTGTAGCAGTACCTCTAACAACACATCTAGGGACTTACATGGGAGGACTGGACCAGGCTGTAGTCTGGTTCTGTCCCCAGCCCATTTAATATTTATTTTAGTGCCAAAAAATTTTACGTAAAAAAATGTTGTGTAATTTTTTTTTTATTTTTTTTGTAAATAAATTAGTCTGATATTGAATCTATCCCTGAACACATCAAAATATTGTGTATATCAAATTGCAAGTCAAATTAGGGAAATGTCCTAAGAAGGTAAAGAGAAGGCTATTTGTTCCAAGTGACCCTGAGGAAAATAGTACTCTTTCAGGAACATCCACTATACGTACTGCACTTTCCATATCGTCATAAGAATTGCACTACACTTACAAAAAGGAAGTGCACAGATCTCTTACAGATCACACTATTCATGGGATGGGTGGTTATATTTTTTCAATAAAAACTCATGAGACCCACCCCATGTGAGTTTTCTGGATATATTCTATGGGAATGATTCTGTACAATCAAAATTACTGATCGTCATAAATAGATGACACCACCTACAACAATCAAAGATAAATTGACCCGATGAATATTTAAGACTGTGTTTCGAAATACTCAATTTGACAGCTAAAATGTTAACAAAAAATAACGGAGTCAGAATCGAAAAAACCAAAGCACAAAAAAGGTTAAACAATGAGGTTTTCCTTAAGTTTTGCCTTTTTATTTGAAATTTACTACAGTCAAACAAAATGTATACTCCATTAAACCTTTTTTATCCCATTATTTTCAAAATACATTTTTTCTCTTCTTTTTAACCACACATTATTCGATAAAATAATATTATACGCAAAATCAAATATTTTTCCTTATTTTGTAACTACAAATAAATAAGGGAAAAATTCAAAACTAAGGCATTAAGTAAGTACAAATCAATTTTTCAGGTTCAAAGTTTAAAAATTCAAAACTCAGGTATTCATTAATTAATTAAAATATTTTATTAATTAAATGTGTAAAGGTCACAATTTTGCAATTAATGGTCACAGATGCATAAATATAGGTCACAACGTCATAATTTTGCAATTAATGGTTACATATGTAGAGGTATTGGTTACAGATTATTTATCGGTCACAAATCAAAAAACTTATAAGTTACAGTTTACTTGCCGATCACAGATTAATGGTCATAGAGGCATAGGTATAGGTCACAATGTCACAATTTTACAATTAATGGTCACATATGTATAGGTATTGGTCACAGATTATTTATCGGTCACATATCAAAAAACTTATAAGTCACAATTTATTTGTCGGTCACAGATTTTCAAATTAATTAGCCATAGATTATCAAAATTTTATGTCACAATTAAATCATAGGTCACAGATAACTAGTCACATATGTGATATGTCAAATGGTGGGTTATATATCTGGACAAGTTTTGAGCTTTGAAATCTCCCATTTTGGATGCTCCTATTTTGATGTTCTAGGTTGAAAATCACCATTGAATACATTCACTATGTCCTTGGCTTAGATAAAAACATGTGATTCATCATTGGCTCATAGGTTCGATCGGAAATGGTCTCTAAACTTTAATGTCAATCTTTATGAAGTTTTTCTATTTAAATATACCGTAAAAATGTCTTTTTAATACTTTTGACTTGTTAAGTAAAAGATAAGAATAAAACCCTAAATTCAACCAAAGTAAAGTTTGGGAACTCATATGTCCCTTTTGAAGGTTAAATGCAATATGTAATCACTACACCAAAAAGAGGTTTTTGCAACGCCAAAAAACGTTGCAAAAGACCTTTTATAGCGTTTTGGCCTGTGTTGCAAAGATAGATGTTGCCGTTGAAAGAAAAGGATTTTACAAAGTTTGTTAAACATTGCAAAAGAGAGTCTTTTGTAACGTTTGAAAAAGCCTCTCTTTTGTAATGTTTGGCTTTTGCAATGTTTAACAAATGTTGCAAAAGATAGGCTTTTGCAACGTTTAACAAACGTTGCCGTAGGTCATTTTACTATTTTTTTTTTTTTTTTTTTGTAGAGTATATTTACATATATCAACCACAAAACATAATAGAAAATAAATATATCAAATAACTCCAAAAGTCATTATTAATTGAACTCTAAAATGTAACAATATTCGTACAAATTCCAAATCCAAAATTCTACAACACCTAAAAATCCAATACATTTTCCCAAAAAAAAAAAAAAAAAAAAAAAAGGACCAACTAAGTAGTGAGTGAAACCACCCTATCGGCCTCTTTAATTTTCTTCTTAGCAATCTTCGACATGAGCTGTGCCTTAAATATTAGTCCTGGCCTATAAAAAAAAAAGGAGATAAAGATAGATACCACATTTTAGACATTTGTACCAATTATAATCGAGACGAAAAATAAATAAGAACCATTGGCAATACATGAACATGAAATAACATTGCAAACAAACTCTCAACTCTCAAATACTTGAATAACTTGTAGATTGCTAAGCTTTACCAATGATGCAAGGAGTGTTTTACTTCCAAATTGATAAACTTCCTTGATCTAGCCACCTGCACATTCCCGAAACATGGCAAACCAAGAATCACATTCTTTGTTGAATAAACTATATGCAAAGAGGTAAACTCACTTAAAAGTAAATTCTAATAAAATTAAGGGAATTTTCACCCACAATTACGAAACAATATAACATGTCGCACTATGTTCCCCTCCAAATTTTGGTTTCATTTAGGTCCCCAAACTGTCTTCTACGGTGCACACAAGGACAAATGGACCGATGTCATTCAATTTTTCATCACATAGTCCCTTTAAAGAATTGGGAGCTTAGGTTAGAGTAGAAAAAAACACCATTGAAAGAACGGGTTATGTGACACACTTTTAAGTGACTATTTGACAACAAGTTGAACAATTTCTGTCCATTGGTCTTATTTGCACCAAAAAATAAGCTTGGGGACCTAAATGCAAAAAATACAATAGGGACCAAAGACAAGGATAATGTTTGGGGACTGTGAGGCGAGAATTTTCCTCGAATATTAACAAGTTGTGACCTGGTGAAAGACACACTCAACAGCACCCTCCTTCCCCCATATGGTCACCCAAACAGCGTTGGTACGAAAACTGTTCCACTATTGTTCAGCTGAGAATCTGAACTGCCAGGCCCAAACATGTCTCTTGTGGATTGTAGTTCTATTTTTAATTATATTTTTGACCTGCATTAGAATACTTTGAAAAGGAATTATGACCTAAAAAAGTTCAATTCAAAAAGGTTGCAAAGACCAATTCTCCCCAACTGTCCTTTTCTAGTTTCAAAATAAAAAATAAAATGCAATCATTCATAGTCTCAAGACATGCCTAGCCCAAAAATTTATTTAACACAATATATAGTTCAAATTCACAAGCAAACGTGTGAGGAGAGTTTAATTCAAAACCATAGTGCTGTATCACTATGTCAGTATGTTGTATGTTTTAGTTAAGTGAATGGAGCATTATTACATTATGTATAATACACTTTCCAGAAAGTACATCCAATTCATTTAATAACTTGACTTGAGTGATGACTACAAATTAAACCGTCTTGCTGGAAACAGAGACCATTGGTTGTGTGGTTTCTAAATTCTAATTAATATAGTTTTCTCCCAAAGTATAATTTATCACTCCATTACTTTCTGTTGTCCTTTTCACCATCATGGGGAGAATTATATATATATATATATATATATATGCTGAGAACATAATATACATAATCGAAATAATATATTAATTTTAACATCTTGTTTATTATAAATTTAAAATTATATATGGCAGTATTAAATAAAGAAAATTTGCAGTGGTGTGTGTGTGTGTGTATAAAAGCAAAATCTCAGTTGACATAAACAAAAGGGAACTATATCATTAGAATAATTAGAACAGGTAAAATACCCAAAAGTTGAAGTCCATACATACACAAAAGGGACTATTCAACCAAAATAAGCAAAGTGAAAGGGGTAATTTCAAAGTCGAAGAACAGGTGCAAAACGGGAAAAAAAATTGACTTACCTGTTCTTCTTCCATCTATTAAAACTTCAAAGTAGAGATTAGAATTTTTGGGAGTTGTTGGCTTGCGAAGAGATTGAGAGACCAGGCAGAGGTTTTGTATGCTTGAAACTTTGAGGAAGCCGGAAGCCCTTACGTGATTTGTGAGGAATCCTGGGAAGAGAAGAGAACATTTTATGAAAGGATGCTACCTTTGTGAGGCGAGAGCCTCAAAGTTCGAAGCTCAGACAATAACTGCTTTGAGTATTTGAGTGCTTCTCTCAGATTATTCGAATCCTTAATTTTATTAAAAACAAACAAATTAAACTTGCAATTAATTTGAGAATCTAGGGCTCTGAGAATTTCAATTTAAAATTACCAAAGCGCGATGCAAATAAAATGCAATGTGTTGAATTCCAGGGATGCCTTCGGCTGGCCATTTGTCCTCATCTTCGATTCCGTTTGATATCAACATTTTTTTTTTGTTTCTCTCTCTAGAGTGACCTCGACTCATATGAGGATGGGAGACTTGCAGGAGGCGCATATGAGGTGGAAGAAGAGGGATGGTGAATGCCTGATTCTTTAAGAGAGGTTAGGGGTTTATTAGTGAAGAGGAGAAGAGAGGAGAGAGGCGTGAATTATTAGTCTAGGGTTTGGATTGTTTTGGGTCCATATATAATTTTATTTGGGTTCATTTTTCGCAACGTTTTCTAAACGTTGCAAAAAGGAAAAATGTCTAAATGTTTTCGCAACGTTTATTGAGCGTTGCGAAAAATGGAACTTTTTGCAACACTTGATAAACGTTGCGAAAAGTGAACTTTTTGCAACGGCAAAAAGAACCTTTTTGCAATGTTTATTAAATGTTGCAAAAAATTCAAAAAGAAACTTTTCGCAACGTTTATCAAGTGTTGCAAAAAGTTCCATTTTTCGCAACGTTTAAATTCAAAAAGAAACTTTTCGCAACGTTTATCAAGTGTTGCAAAAAGTTCCATTTTTCGCAACGTTATTAAACGTTGCGCAAAATGAAACTTTTCACAACATTCAATAAATATTGCAAAATGTGACATTAGCAATATTCATTTAAAAAATGTTGTCAAAGCTCAATTTTGCTAACCAATAGCAACATTTACTCATTAAAATGTTGTGGTAGACCCTTTAGCAATATTAACTACCGAATGTTGCCTTTTATGTTTTGTAAATGACAATTTTTGGTATAGTTAATCCAGTGTTCCTTTTAAATAACTGAGGTCAAAGCATATGTAGTGTTTGTTAGGTTTTATATTGTAATTGGCTATTCTGTAAACAAAAAGGACTTAATTGAACATGTTGTAAAAGTTAGGGACTTGGGTTGCAATTTATATAGATGGTTTAGGCTAGGGCTGAGTTTTGAACAAGGTAGAAGACTCATCGAATTTTCGCTAGCTGCTCGTCAAGTTGTCGCTCGAGTGGATGAAGCGAAACCATCATAGCTCGTTTTTCGCCCAGGAGTCTCTCGAGCGATAGTGATATGTGGCCAAACCTTAGGTCGCATTTAAAAGAGTTTTAAATGGTCCATGACAATTATTTGCCCCCAAGTATAAATACACGAGTCTGGGATGTGATAATTAGAGTGGTTGCTCATTGTTCTTCATCTTCATAATACATTCTATCATCTCTGTGATCCAAGAACGAAATTCAACTGGTGGAATCAATCATTCTTATTATGATCCGGTAGCCAACTTTTGGAGAAAACATCAAGGTGCAATAATCCAAAACACCGTATTTCCTTAATCTGTTGACGAAAAGACTTTCTCATTGGGGAATTAAGAGAGATGGATTGAAGCGCAGTTACAAGCACAAGAACATGCGATTCTTGGTATTCCACTTGAAAAGACATTCAGCATAAGATCAGGAGGTCGTAGGAGATAGCAGATTGGGCTGCAGGAGATAGATCAGAAAGTCTAGCAGGAAGCTTGAGGCATCTACGGTAGTAGGAAACTACTGGAATAGATCAGGAGGTCTAATAGGCTAGAGGTATCTACGGCAGTAGATCGTGAGACTGTGACAGTTGGTCTTAGTGGATACAAGAGTTGATTTGCTGTGTATTCCCTGAACTATCTATAGTGAAGGTAACTGACTTGGTCATGGAGTTTTTTCCATGTTAGTTTTCTCTGTCATCAAATTTTGTTCTCTTCACTTTCCAGCAATTTATTATAAACTGCAGTATTCAAACATAGTGTTAATTGAATTTTATGCTTAATCATCTAGAAACTAATTTAAAGTGACGTGTTTGCTTTAATTGGTCAATGCCGCACGTAAGGTCGAACTAATTGATAATCTAGAATGTAAACTTGGTAACACAAAAATTTGAATTGGTGATCACAGCATTCTAGGCGAGACTTTTCAGTGTCGAAACAAGTATTATAGTTATGCGTTGGGTAATCACGCAAGGATGCATATAAGGGGGGGAAAAAGGCTGGCTGTAGCTTGTGTGGCGCCTCTATAGATCTATATGAATTTAAATTCATGATACCTCAACCAGAATAGCCAAATTTTGTTTAGGGTGTATTCAACTAAAAACTACTAAAATTACTAAGAAAAACTATAAAATGAGGGTTTTGATGATCTTAAATATAATTCAATCATGTAAAGGCACAAGACTTCAACTCCATTTATATATATTTTTTTTTAACGTTAATCTTCAATTTTTCGTAACTTAATAGATGCACAATATATTTGACAACCAGGGATTATATTTTGTCTAATGATCTTTCTCGAGTAAGTTTAAACATATTCTTATATACAACCTTCATATATCTATATGAAAAATGTGACTACACGAGAATGGAATAAAAATGATGAACATTCAACAAAAGATCACATAACGTGTTGTGAACACTGGATGTTATACCACAAAAATTGATTTCTTTGATAATAAACATCCTCTAGAAAAGGATTTGATTACTTTTGTTTACTAATTAGAATATAATGATTTTGTAAAATAAATACATACAGTGTTTAGGGATTACTCTTGTAGCTTGCTTTACATAGAATCCCCTTTTGTTCTTTGATAAATGCATTTTATGCACTTATTCGAGCTTCTATTCTTATTTAGTTGTATATAAATTGAGCAATTATCTATTATTCTGTGTAAATTATGTTAATTGTAGGAAAATCCCAACATGGATATAGTTCATTTGAAATGAGTCTATTTGGAGCTTATCTGGAGTTGATTTGAAGCAATTGAAGAATAATCGGATTGCAAAAGATCAATTGAAAATATTAGTGGAGCTTTTGGTAAAAATTCATAAGTTTCAAGAGTTAAATTCAACAATTGAAAAGTTTGGGACTATATTGCAAACTTTTGGAACTTGCCTCGGATCAATTACTAATATTTTGGAATAAAGAGCACCTAATTGGAAAATAATAGAAGATGAAGGACTAAGATCTCAATTGAAAAAAGAAAAGAATAGTTTCCTTTTATTTCTTAACTATTTGGTAAAAACCAATTTGAACGCTTTTGTGGAGATCAAGTTGAATAAGCTTTTTGCCTGAATCTTGTTTTATAAATACACACCATTGTTCATCAATTAAAAGGGAGCTTGTAGAGTTTCATTATACGCATATATTTAAACTAAGGTTTGGAAGATTCATTGTACATATATTATTCAAGCCAAAAGGGCGAAAAATCAACAAATCAATCAAGAAGCTAAAGTTTCAAGATTTCACACGAAGGCAACGCAATCTAGATGCAAAATCTTTATCTTTATCTTTTTCCTTTTAACCCGGTGATGTAGTTTAATTTTTCTTATATTTTTCTTATATTTTTATTCTCCTATGATGTGTAATTAAATAATTATTAATGATGAATGATTGTAACATAATTTTGAACCTTAATTTTAATTTAAAAGTTGTAAAGTTCAAATTGATTGTGTGAATTGTTTTTACTTTGGATCTTAATACTTGGATTAATTAGCTACTAATTCATTGATTTTGTGAGCAATAATTACTTAGAAATGAATACATAGTAAAAATTGGGAAATAGTATAAAAAGTAAATATATTTATGCTATTTAATGTGATCGTTATATAAATTTTAGAAATATAATACGTTTAACTAAGGTATATTCAGATTCACATGGAGATATGGAATTAACTTAGTTAAATAGATTCAATGAGATCTCAAGAGGAGTATATTACATACGTTAGAAAAATTCGATCTGGTAAACATAATCAATTGTATAAAATTTGATGATTGAGAGTAAGGGGATAATTATGGTAAAATCATGAATTCTAACACTTAAACCATCATATTTAAAATCACTTTTATTTGTTTTAGTATATTTAAAATATAAATTCACAAAAAGAAAAATAACTATATTATTTGTTTTCGATCAAATTGAAGTTAGGATTAATTGAATCAATTACTAGATAATAGTTATCGTGGGAATGATATTTGAACTCATAGATTCATTTTATACTTTTTACGCTCCGTACATTTGCAGGATATAAAAATTCAACATGTTTTTGGTGTCTTTGCATGGACTCTTTTTATTTAGTATAAGCTTAAATTATTTCTTGCTTTTGTTTGATTTTCTTTTCCTTTTTCTATTGTTCTACTTGTTTTTCTTTGTTTAAAGGGAATGAAAAGAAGAAAGTGGTCAAAAAATCACATTGATTGATCCTAACTTCGATGATGGTGACATGCTCTTTGGAGAATTCCTCTTTACACAAGAACTTAAAAAGCCACAATTTCCGGCGATGAAACAATTCTGGTGGATACAATCAACCTATTATACTTGATAAGAATGGCTTGCCAAAGGGATTAAATATCAAATCTATTGTTTATGAATAGATTAGACCGACTTGAGAATATTGTGATGTGTTCCTTCATACAAAAAAATTGCTTGTTATTGACCATTCCCGAGGAAGTAAGAAAAGTTATATTTGATGATCCATATGATGAAGATAATGACAGTATTATGGGATATATCAACATGCAAAATTATAAAATTATTGTGGATCAAATAGTTCTGGGGATGCCAAGTAACTTACTATTTTCCTCATTTGTCTGGCCACAAGACCGGCCCTGATTGGGATTAGGAATAGATGATGGAGTCGAAGAGAGTGTGATTATGAGAAGTTTTGGGATGAAAACATTCAAGAAACATTAAATTTAAGGTGGAACTTTCTTTGAAGACGATGCATTATGAACCAAACGTTGATATTTTTGGACCAAATTTGCAGGATACATTCTTGTATTGATTTAGAACATGGCAGTGTGATAAATTTTGCATTTGCATTGGAATTAAGAGTGTTTTCACACAAAACGCATGCAAGAGGCCGCATCTCCCCTATGTCACCTATTGTGTCCTTGTCTGCGTCCCTTTGCATCCTGCCATTTTCTTATTTTTCTTTATTTTTTCGGTCATAATTAGCTTATACTCATCATTCCTAATTAAATTAGCATAAATTCACATATGGATATAGTGATCATTGTTTTTCTTTTTGTTTTAGGCAAAATGGACATATTTCACAAAACAAGCAAGGAAATGATGTTGAAGGAAGATAGAACACCAAGTGATAGACAAGAAATATCATATACATGGTGAGTATTGCTAACCTTTCTTTAAACCTATTTTGTTTGGCACACGTTGAGGACAATGTGTATTTTAAATTTGGGGGAG